AATCGTAGAGTCACGGAGCTGCGGGGCTGGCAGGGAGCTGCGGGGTCCCATCCAGTCCGAGCCCTGCCCAAGGCAGGATCAGTCCCGTCCAAACCAGCCCAGAAAAACCCTGCATCCGATCTCAGAACAACACGATACTGTCGCCCCGACAGCCCCAGGCATCGCCCCTGCCCCTAGGAAAGCGGGGGCCGCAGTCGCCAACGTCCTGCTTCTGTTAAAGGTTGTCAATATACGTTCAAGAGAGCCCAGGCTGAGGCTGTGCCCCCACTGCAGAGGAAGGCAAAAGTCTGGACCAGTCTGGCCAAGGGGAAAATCCCTTGTCCCCAGTGCAGTGTCAGGCTGAGCCTGAGCACGGGGGCAAGACCCTCCAGCCAGGACCCTGCGGGGTTGGTGTCACAGAAGCATTGGCTCAGCCCAGCCCCATCCCCAGCCCGGGCTACAACACCCAGTGCCTCTGGGGAAGGCTTAAACCCCCTGACACATGGAGCAGGAAAAAGTGCGGACAACCAGTGCAATCCAGAAGCCTGGGCAATCCCTGTAGCAGAGCACAGGTATTGCTGTGCCTAGATCATGCCTGGCCAGCGTTCAACCTCTTCTTGACACCTCCAGTGATGGCGAGTCCACAGCTTCCAGGCCATGGAGGGTACTGAACAGGGGAGAGATCGCCCTAGAGATGTCCAGTTCAGTGCTCATCCCCTCCTGCTGCTGCCGGGGCAAGATCCTGAGTTCAGAGGACCACTGCTTGGACCCAACAGAGAACTGCTCACCTCCTCAGGACTGGTTTTCTTGCCCAGTGCAAAGGCTGGAAAGTTAGCCTGGCAAAACCTGCCCCTTGCCAGCTCCCAGCCCTGGCACAGGTTGAAAAGGAGCAATGAGATTGTTACTACAATGACAGGCTGGGACATCCCAGCTGGGCTCGGGCCCTTTCTGCTGGAGCCCATACAGACCTCCCTTTACCCAAAGGCCTTGAGATGTGGGGGCTTCATTTAAAACGTGCCAAGCAGCACTCACAAGGCTGTGTGGACACAGACGCAGCCTTCTCTCCTGAGATGCACAGCCCTGGGCTCAGAGGCTCGCTGCACAGGTGGGTTATGGGGTGGAGAGTAGGACCTACCTCCATGGACCATGGGTGATGTGACACAAGGAAACGAGAATTCAGCTGTCTCCAAGTACCTTTCCCCTTGCAAGAGGGAGTAACTCTTGGCACGTTGGCATCCGGGGCCCACGTCCAGCCAGCCTTCTGCATGGGGACCTCCCTGGCTCATGTGGCCTCCCTACCCCACTACACCAAACAGGCCCGCATCCCAGCCGTGGAGAGCACCCTGGATTCGTCTCAAGCCCTCATCATTTTTCATGTCTTGGGCTGCTGCTTTCATCGGAAAAGCACCGGCGCTGCGTCTCGAAGCCCTTCTCGACCTCAGCTCCGCACAGGGGCTCCTGAAAAGGAAAGCCTCTTTTTTGTTTGCTTGCTCCTCAAAACTTCCAGTTTTGAAATAAAAACAAAATGCACGGAACATGGCATTTTTATGTTGCAAAATGTTTGCTGGAAAATGAAAGGTCAGCAGGTTCTGAGTCCTCAGGTCCACGGCAGCTCTCTGATCCCCCTCACCTCCCTCGCTGCTCCTTGGGGAAAGAAGTGGCAGCAGGGTAAGGACGAGGTGCATGACCTGGCCGAGAGAGGAAGCCCTTGGAGAGGGGCAGGGGCAGGGCTCTGTGCTGCAGACCTCAGATCAGAGTAGGGGGAAGCGCTCCTGAGTCCCGGGAACGCCTTGCTCCGCTGTTGGTGATGATGGGGGCAGCATGTGGAGCCTCTCATGGTCCCAGCTCTGCTTTCACCCTGCTGTTCTCCAGGCCCCTCTCTCAGTGGCCAGACCCCTGCCCGCTAGCCTTTCCATGGCCTCTGCAAGGGCCCAGCCAGCCTCACTGACATAGAGCGATGCAGAGAGTACATGTGTGGCGGCCCTCCTTTGCGCAGGGGCCCCAGGAGCTCTGTGCAGATCCCCTGACTCCTGGAGCATCTTCCTTGCAATGGGGCTGCTCAGCCCTCCAGGGCATTGGCCAGCATGGCGCTCTCCCGGCCTCGAGACAGGCAGGGCATGGCATCGCAGCACCTTCAGCGGGTTTCCACCCAGCTCCCGGCGCAGGGAAAAGATTTGGGGAGTTATTCAGAGGTAGGAGACGTGATTTAGCTAAATACGCCCTTTTGAGAGCTAGAGGCTGGGTCACGGCCTGGAATCTCCCTGCTTGCAGCGCGGGACACGGGCACGGGCGGCGTTGCTGCCCGTCCAGCGTCACCCAGCCCCGCGGGCGGCTCGGCGGTGACCCTGGCGGCATGGACAGCCCGTGTCAGAGCCCGCCAATGGCTCTGCATCTCGCTTTAACAGTCAGAGGGAGAACTTTCCTGTTTAAAGATTAAACGCCGCGTTTAAATATTAACCAGCTGAGCCGCTCTCCCTGATTGTGTGGCTGCTGCCGGCAGGCGGCTCAGAATTGCTGGGTTTAATTAAAAAACTTTATTTTCACATACAATTCACGGCTCACCCAGCTCAATCCTCCCCCCTCCGCAGGACGGGCTCCGCTCCCAGCAGGACGGGCTGCTCCCCTCTCTATCCTGACACCCTTTGTTTCCTGGCTCTGGGTTTTGCCGCTGCGGAGAGCGTGCGCAAGCTTTGAGGAGTGCGCAGCCGGGGCGGATCAATGCCCCTGGCACTTCCTTGCAGAACCCCAGGAAAAACAATTAAAACTCGATCGATCCAGCAGACGGCGGTGAATATGCATAAGTGCGCACTTGACCTTGAGGGGTCAAGCCGGCTTCCACCGCGCCTGCTTAGTGAGTTTGCTCAGGTATTGCCGCTGTACCGAACGACCTTGGCGAACCAAGATGAGCACTGCACACGAGACGCCCGGCGTGGATCTGGGAGGCGCGGCCGCCCTGTCTTCCCCGGCCAGGGGGCTTGTAGCTTGCACTTGATGGAGTCCAAATGGAGGGACGTCTCATAGGAGCCTCAGGGGATGGCGAGGAGGGGGTGAGATCTTCCCCTGGATCCCTTTCTGTGGAGGGCTGGATCTGCAGGTGGCCGGGAGCTCCAGGGAGCTTGGGGCCTGCAGCTGGGATGTCGGAAGCATCGGGCCGGGGCAGCATAGTGCTTAAGTACCCTGCTGCTTGGGTCCGTGCCATGGCTAGGCTGCTCCTGGCACCGGACGTAGTGCCAGTTGGACCCTGAAGCTGAGCTCAGGACATCGTGGCACTGCCCGGGGCTGTGGGCCGGGAGCAGGGCTTGAGCTCAGCCTGCCCCGCGCTGCACACGGTGCAACACGTGCTGTTCCAGGCTGAGCTCGTTTGTGCCATCATGCAGCCCCCAGAGACCGTGGGGCCCAGCAGGCCTGGACTCTGCTGAGCCCATGGGGCATGTTGGGCCATGTCATTTCTGTGCAGGATGCTGGGTCGTGTTTCCATGTGGGATGGTGGGGCGTGTTGTTTCCATGTGGCACACTGGGCCATGTCATTTCCATGTGGGATCCTGGGACGTGTCGTTTCTGTGCAGGATCCTGGGACATGCAGGAAGGTGGGACATGTTGGCACGTGGGGGCATGTCTGTTCTGTGTGGCGTGCTGGAACGTGTCATTTCCACGTGGCATGCTGGGGTGTGTTGTTTCCACGTGGCATGGGGGCACATGAACTTTCCAAGGGGCGTGCCTGTTGCTGACGGAGGTGGGCTCAGTGTGTGTAAACAAGTCTTTTCTGCAGACAGTGCCCTGAGGCCGGGCACGCCCTCCATGGTGCACGTGTGACCGGCAGCTCCGGCTTGCGGGGGTGCGGGGAGAAGCACCATGGGCCCGCCCCTGCCCCCGGGAAACAGGGTCATGGGCTCCCGTCTGCCTCCCTGGGCCAGGCCAGGCCGCGGGGAATCTGGCGCGCGATGAAGACATCAGCAGTGTTTGTCGAAGGCAGAGGAAACCTCCCGGTTGTGTACACAAGGCGTAATTCCAGTGAATTATGCATAGACTTAATTAGGAGTTTTAATTGCTAATCATCTCCCTATAGGATTAGCAAGGCTGTCTATTAATTATCTGCAGAGCCCTGTGTTTTGCTAAGGCGTGAGGAACAAAGCAGCCTAAATGGTTACATGCGATGGCAATAAATTAACCACCAAAAAACCTGCCTCCCTCCCGGGGCTCCTGCCGGTGCGGGGGGGTGGCGCTGGCGCACCGCGGGGCCAGTACAGCCGCAGGTGGCAGGGCTGGCCCAGCTGCCTCGGTATGTGGCACCTGCAGGCTCACACGGCTGCAGTGCCACGAGAGGGTCAACGGGAGGTACTGCTGCATGGGTGTGCACTAGGGGGTACAAGGACACACCTGTTGTGTGTGCACCAGGGGCTCAGTGCTGCTGTGCAAGGCAGTGCACTCAGACACCTGTTGTATGTGCAGTGGGGGCCTGGTGCCATTGTGCCAAAGCTGTGAGCTTGCACACCTGTTGTGTTCGCACCAGGGGGTCCAGTGTGGCTGTGCAGGACAGTGCGCTCGCACGCCTATTGTGTGTCCACCAGAGGGCCCAGTCCCATTGTGCCAGGGCAGTGTACTCACACACCTGTTATGTGTGCACAAGGGGCTCAGTGCTGCTGTGTAGGGCAGTGCTGTTGCACACGTGTTGTGTTTGCACCTGGGGGCCCCAATGCCACTGTGCGGGACAGTGCACTCGCACACCTGTTGTGTGTGCACCAGGGGGCTCAGTGCTGCTGTGCAAGGCAGTGCTTTTGCACACCTGTTGTGTGGGCACCAGGAGTGTCCTCATGCCCTCTTGTGACAGCCAGTGATGCCTTCCTGGAGGCCACGTGCCTAAACAGAGGGGTGGGAGTGCATGGGGAGGGCCCAGCCCAACGTGGGGTGTGGGCAGGTGTCAGCTGTTGCCAGCCCCATGGAGGTGCCCTGTGACCCCCAGGCTCGTCCCCATGCCCGCTGTAACCCTCATCCTTCTCTCTCTCTCTCTTTCTCTCTGCCAGGCCTACAGCTTCGCCATGGGGAGCTGGCCCAAGAATGGGCTCTTAGACATGAACAAAGGCCTGAACCTACAGCACATAGGGAGGCCTCACAGCGGGATAGGTGAGTGCTGCACCTCTCGGGGACCGCGCCGGGCCGGTTGCCAGGGGAGCCAGGGGGTGGAGGGGTGGCAGCCCCCAAACCCCTTTCTAAAGGGCTGGATGGGCAACTGAATGTAGGCACGTGCCCTCCCAAGGCCCCTGCATCCACAAGAGGTCCCATGCCTGCTGACACGTGTGTACACATGCACACATGTGCGCATACTCATACACACATACATGCTCACATATGCATGCGTACACACACAAGTGCACGCACATGCACGCACTTGTATAGGTGTGCGCGCACATACATATGTATGCATACAAATGGACTTGCATATGTGCATGCATGCGCGTGCGCACACATACAGACACACGTGCACATGCACACATACATATACCTGCACGCACACATGCTCATGCACACACACTCCTTGCTGCAGCGCTCATGTTCTCAGTGGTGAGGTGGTCCTGGAGCAGTGCCCCCCCTCTCCCCGCAGGGTACCCCCCTGGCTTGTGCCTCACAACAGCTCTGGGGCTGCGGCTGGGTCAGGGCTCAGGCTGTGGTCTCGCTGCTTCTCAGCCTCCGCTGCATGTGGTCCTTGTGTTGGGTCAGGGGCTCCATGTGTCCCGCCTTGTGGGCGTCTCGTGAGTGGGGACCAGGCTGCAGGTGCTGTGTGGAGCAAAAGGGCTCAGACCTCAGGCTGAAGAATGGAGTCAGTGTGTCTCCTGCATGCAGTGGGTTTCCCAACTTGTGGCCCCTGGTGGACATCCCAAAACTGCCAACGGTCCAGGGTGCCTGGCAGCTCATCCTCCACATGCCACTGGGGCAGGGGTGCTTCAGGGAAGGACAAAGATGCTGCATGCAGCCAGGCCTGTCATAGCTGTGGGGAGGGGCGGCCGGCTGGGACAGAGGGACATCTACAGAGCTGTGTGCGAGGAGCGGAGCAGCGGGCCAAGGGGTGGCTGGTTGGACTTGAGGTGTGTGTGCGCTCGTGGCTGGACTAGCGAGTGTGTCCTTTCTGCTTTGTTCTGCCTTTGGAAAACAAGGCATGTGGTACCTCCAGGGGTGTCATACATGGGAAGATATGGTAGCTACTCCAAGCGTGTCTCATTCAGGGCCACCCCGTAAAGGAAGATCTCCTGAAACATCAGGTAACCTCAGAAGAAACATGGATCAGGTAATCCCAGGTTTCACCTTGCAGCCAAAGCAGTGGGGAATTCAGTCCCCCAGGGAAGTTTTGGATAGGCATCAGGTAATAACCGGGGTTTCTACAGGAAATGAATCTGCAGCTTTGCCTACAACGTTTCACAGCTGTGAAGCGGGGACTGGGATGGGAGAGCTGGGGCAAGGAGAGCTGGCCCTGAAGAGCCGGACATCTAGGGACGGACGTTGGAGCCTTGCATGGCTGTTGGTGTGGTTGCCCTTACAGCTGAGCTGCCTGTGTATCTGCCTCCCCCGTGCTCCCTGCTCTCTCTGTGGACACGGACGCGTGGCACTGGGCCCCTCTCCATGGCTCCCAGCCCCAGGAGGCTGCCACGGGGGTGCGCTGCAGCATGCACGGGTGTAGGATCGACCTGGCAAAGTGGGCCCCTCCCCAGGCCTGGAGGGAGCTGTTTAATATTGGTGCAAGACTCTAACCACTAAACTCTCCAATCAATCCGCGTTAAGGAGATGAATTATTTAAAGCTCACCGGCTTTTAATTAGCAAGCTCCTTCTGAACTATGGATCTGGTTGCATTATTGACGGAGGGAGCATTCAGATTTGCTCTCCTGCCTGGGAGCGCGGCCATTCTTCTTCCACGGGGGGCGGGGGCAGGGGAGACCCCAGGAATTTGGGGGTCCAGGCACCCACCCCACGGTTCTGCTCTGGGGAGCAGGGCTGGTACCGGGTCTTGCGGGGGCTGCAGCCGCCTGCAGCTGCCTCCTTGCTACCCATGGCGTTGGTGGGGAGCTCAGTGATGTGCTGCCTCCTCCATAAAGCCCCTCGCGCCCTGGTCTGCCATCCATTCTCTCCTTTAATTACTGGCTGCTGTTATCACCATGTTGTCAGCTGGGTGCCGTGCCTCTCGGCCCTGATGGATAGGTCAGAACGCGGCCATTCGTTTGCTCCCTTAGTCTCTGTCGCTGTCCTGGATTTTTTTCTCCTTCCTTCCTTCCTTGTTCCTGCTGCTGCACGGTCCACGTGCAAAACAGGCCCATCACCTCGAGACATGCAATGTGCGCGTGAAAGCAACCCTGGCACTGGGCCTGGCAGTCCCTGTTCTGAACCACATTTGCTCCCATGCAGCTCCACAGAACCGGAGCAGCAGCTTGCGGTATGGACATGGCTCCCGCCGTGGCCAGAGGGTGGGTGCTGGCTTTGCAGCCTTCCCGTGCCCCTGGCTGTTTGTGCCGCCCCGGAGAATGTCTCTCAGCCCCTCTCCTCTGCCATGTGCTGCTGTGCAGGGCCTGGCTCCCTGCAGTCAGAGACCTGAGGAATGATGCCTTGTATTGGAGAGTTTGCTTAACTTGATCCCAACAACACAGTCGGTCCAATAAAAGAGATCCCTAAGAAATCAGAGAATCACAGAGCAGCAGGGCTGGAAGGGATCTCCAGAGGTCCCATTCAGTCCAAACGTGGCCCAAGGCAGAATCAGCCCCATCCAAACCCGCCCAGACAACCCCGTGTCCGAGCTCTGAGTAACATGACACAGTCACCCCTGACATAGCCCCAAGCATCGCCCCTGCTCCCAGGACAGCAGGGGGGCCGTGGCCCCCAGTGTCCTGCTGCTTCTAGGGGGGTTAATACGCACTCCAGAGAGCCCAGGCCAAGGCCGTGCCCCTGCTGCAAAGGCAGGCAAACTCCCCCAATCTGGACCAGTCTGACCAGGGGAGGGAGGGACCTGCCTGCTCAGAATTCAGCTCTGCTCCTGCAGGCTATAAAAGCTCTTTAAGCTCCCTGATGCAGATGAGACCAGCTCCTAGCTCCCCTGGAGAGGGTGTGCAGCCCTTCCTCCTCTGGCAGTGAGGAAGATGGGAAGGATCTCCGCTGTGTTGGCCCCAGAGAGGGTCCCTGGCACAGCGCCCATGAGCATTAGCTGCTGGCTTTACCCCACATGCTGCTTAGCTGGGCCCGGTGGAGAGTGCAAACACTGTGGTCAAGCCCCGGCAGTACCTCAGATTGGGGGTGATTCCCTGGGGACATCCTTTGACACTTGGGGGGTTGTCCAGCACCATGGGTTGTTGTCCCAGTCAGGCGCTCAGCACCGTTCGGCTCCAGGTGAGAGGAAGGTGGCTGCCAGAGCTAAGTCCTCTCAGGTCCTTCTGTGCATCTATTAGGGTTATTATCATAATTATTACTATTGTCATCATTATTATTAATTGTTACTAGTATCATGAATAATAATAATAATAAAATAATAATAAAGGCTTCCTGGCCTTTCTGAGCATCCATTCCTATCCCTAACCCTGCTCCGGCCATGCTGTCCGCGGTGCTCATGGCAATTGCCATCAGGCGACGGGTCACGGTACGATGCTGGCCAGGGAGCATAGGAGCAGGGACCATCCCAGCCCCCGTGCCAGGGATGTCTGCCACTGGACCACCTGCTCCTGGCCCACGCAGCACATGGCTTTCCAGACCTTGCTTCATTAATGCAGAGACTGAGAGGATGGTGCCTACCTGCAGTTCCTGTCCCTGAGCTGGGAGCGTAGGGGCCCAGATGACTCGGGCCATGCTGCAGAGGTTTGTGGCATGGACTTGTTTTTTAAAGTCTCCCCCAGAGGCGCTGAGTGCTGCAGCCCAGGCTGGGGCTGGGGCTGGGCTGGGCCAATGCTCTTGCTGGCACCATCCCCGCTGGGTCCTGGCTGGAGGGTCTTGTCCCTGCGCTCAGGCTCAGACTGACACTGCATTGACAAAGGGCTTGGACACCTTGTTGGAGGAAAGGGAAAGGGATGTTAGTTGCTATTGAGCACAAGTGTGAGGGGCACGGCCACTGAATCAGACCTTCAGTGCTGGAGACTGCAGGGGAGAGAGGAACAGGGGGAAACCCTGCTCAGACCCAGTCACTCTCCCAGCCTCCGCTCTCTGCTGCCATGTGACAGGAGCCTGGGCACGATGGACCTGGGGTCAGACCCAGCTCCTCACACCTCTGCTCACTCAGCATCAAAGCTCAAAGCGTGGCTGCTGCGCTGTGTGCAGACTCCAAATGCAGAGCCCTTCCTGGGTTCCCTGCCCCTAGGGACCCCCAACCCCGCGGTCAAGAATGGGGGTGGTCATCTCAGGGGGGAAGAGGCGGGGAAAGGCCCCCTTGTACTTGACCACCCCTTCCTGGCCAGCCGTGGCTAAGCTTGGAGGGGCAATTGTGAACCCACAATCCCTGGGGAGGTTGTGGCAGGCAGAAGGAGACAAAGAGGATCTCAGAGAAACAGGATCCAACCTCAGGGACTGTGGAGAAGAGGCCAAACCTCCTGCTTCCCCGTGAACAGTGACGCTGCCGCTGGCAGCACGGCTGTAAATAGAGCCGCCGCGGTGGCTGACTTGCTCTCGGTCAAGCGTTTAACAAGCATCAGTTCCCCGTAAAGGCAGAAAACACCTTTGGACGGGTTAGTGCCTCCTGCTAGAGCAATAAATCTGGGCATTTCGGGGCTGAGAACTGGCTGGTGCTGCAGGATCCAGAGATGAGGCCATGCAATAGGAGTTTTCCCTGGGTGCAGGGGGGTTCGTGGTGGGTGTGGGAGCAGCTGGGGCTGGACACTGTGTGGAGAGCCTGTGGGCAGGTCCTGGCCACACCAGGCTCTGGGGCTTGTGAGGTCAGGAATCAGAGCTGCAGCCCCATGGGTGCTGGCGCAGGGGGTCCAGTAGCAGCACGGCATCAGGCCTTGCAGCCCACTCCCCTTCCACCTCGCTTGGCACCGCCGTCACCCTCATGTCCTTGTAGCTTTTGTCCATAGACTGTATAGTAGCCCCCGTGTCATGGCTGGGCCATGGCTCTTTGCGTTACTCTCTGCCGTGGTCAGAGGTGGAACAAGCAGGATTTGTGCCTGAGCAAACCCCACAGGAGAGCGGCAGAGGCTCTTGAAGGTGGAGGGGGGGGCCACAGGGGTCTCATCTATGTTGGGGACTCAAAACCAGTCCCAGGTTGCTGCTGTTACCACAGCTGCAGTGGCCTCCACTCTGCACCCAGCTGCTGCTGCAAGACCAACCCTGTGTGACTGCTTTTGCTGGGGAGCATGGACTTCACAGGGGTGGGGGGCAATGCTGGTGCCCCTCTTGCCACGCCTGGTCATGCTACTGCCCGGGGCTCAGGTGTGCAGGCAGCTTGTGCTCCGTGGCCAGGGATTCATTAGTTCCCTGCTTGCACCTCATCTTCCTCCTGGACCTTTCCATGGCTGCAGGTAGGATGAGGCACCAGCTCCAGCTGCAGCAAAGGAGAATGTGGCTGGACAGTAAGATTTCATAGATTTACTAGACATTAGGGCTGGAAGGGACTTTGGAAGATCATCGAGTCCAGCCCCCTGCCCCAGGGGCAGGAAGTCAGCAGGGATCATAGGATTCCAGCAACATAAACATCCAATTTTTTCTTGAAGGTGTTCAGTGTAGGTGCTTGAACCGCCTCCGGTGGCAGTCTCTCATGGTGCCAGGATGGCTGAGTGGTCTAAGGTGCCGGACTCAAGGCAAAGCTGCCTTCCATAGCAGGTGGGTGTTCTGGTCTCCATGTGGAGGTGTGGGTTCAAATCCCACTTCTGACGCTAATGTCTTTTACAGGCTGGGGAACTCCTTTCTTGTCAGTGCAGGGGCAGAAAAGGATCTGGGAGTCATCATTGATGCCAAGATTAACATGGGCCGGCAGTGTGGGGATGCGGTCAGGAAGGCCATCCGCACCTTGTCATGCATCCACAGATGCACCTCGAGCAGG